CAATTTAAATTTATTGACATCATAATAACACAAGTCTACTTCAAATGAATGCCGAATACTTAGTTAGTACATTTAAGTTACGTACATTAAATAAAAACAAACTATTTTTTAGAGAAATTTTATTGAAAAAATGCCAAATATGATTTATTTTTAAATTATATATAATCTCCTGACTTACTTCTTCAATGCCGGTGCATAATTCATAGTTTATAAATTTACGCTGACAGTACATGTATTGTTGAAAACACTTGAAAACAGATATCGGTTTATGAACGTAGATTGTAAAAAATATTTACTTACTACAATTGCAAGGATCTTTACATTTTTTTAATATCTATATACTCATTGTTCATTTTTAAAAGTGCATATTGAAGCACTTTTTTGACCTAAATCTAGAGATGAGTTAGACTTCTGAAAGATCTTTAATAAAAATTTTATTAAAAAACTGTTTTATTCAAACCTTAGAAAACAGTCTGAATATTACTATAATTATATTCTTATTAATACTCGTATTCGTGAGTGGACTTTTTAATACATGTATAGACAGAGTGAAAGGCTTAAAAGATAAATATATAAAACTGTTAATTTCTTTGAGTCCCTCCCATTTTACATCAGTAATGTACCAACATTATACACGTAGATGCAAATACCATCCTGGTCACTTCATCTGCATGGTCTGTATTTTAATGTGTGCGACAGAGATAAATTTAAATGACCTGTTGACAGACAGAGAGACAAAATAAAAAGCGGTATACAGTATTGCCGGTTTTTTACGTGTGTAGGAATATGTATATAGAAAAAATAAACTATTTCAAAAACTTTCATGTATACTACTGAAACGAAGATAATATACCTAAGCTAAATATAATCTATTACAGTTTTGTAGTAAAATGAGTTCCAACCCTAGATGCAACATTTTTCGTAAATGCCTACTTGTGCGGTTTGAAGTTTTGATACACAATCCGGCAATACCACATAGAAGAAATGTATCAACTTTTATCTCTTTTTAATACCATTTTCCATGGTATGCATTTTATGGTATAGATTTTCAATTAAGCTGTCTACATCACTGTCTTACACGTTAAAATCCGGACCACGCAGCTTCGATGACCAGATCGGTATAGGTTTATGTAAAACACACAAATTATCAACTTCCTTTTAATACTAGATTTATTTTCTTACATCACGGATGGAATAATTGGTTCTCGAAAAAGTTCTAAAATACTATGTTTTAAGAAATAAGTGAAATCATAGTAATAATTGTAATAAAATCAGAAATCTTGCAATTTTACCCCTCCTGTCAGAAAATTAAAACAGTAATTCTGAGAAAAAAAAGCATTATCAAAAATATCTATAACATTCTCGTGACTCGTATGACTGAGTAATACCCACACTACTATATAACTACATAATTATGTGTTATAAATTTAAGTTGGCAATGAAAAATAATTATCTATCAGGATAATCCGAAACAACAGAATTCGTGCAACTTTATAACAAAAAAATTACTTTAAGCGCGCGACTGCATTGTTGTGTTATGTTTTAATTCTCAACGCATCGTTAAAATAAGAGTTACTTTTTAAAAATTAATATATATGCACTCAAAAAATCATACAAAAATAAAAAACAAAAAACTACATTGTACTTAGAATTAGCTAAGATATTATTATTCTTCCCCAACTCAGTTACTTGTTCAAAATTTCAAACCGCACAAGTAGGCGTTTACGAAAAACGTTGCATCTAGGGTTGAAACTTTATTTTTCACAATTAGTTACTCATTTTACTACAGCTGTAAGAGATTATATTTAGCTTAGATATTTAGCTAAGATTATAGATTATCTACATTTTAGTAGGTTAATTTTTTTAAACAGTTTATTTTTTTCAACCAAATTTCCTACACACGTAAAAACCGGCAACACTGTATGCCGGTTTTAGTGAAAGTCGGAAATCCAGTAACTGTTAACAATCACTAGGAAATGCTAACGATTACGCACTGATCTAGTGAATGTCGTATTTTGAAGAAATGTATTTAAAAATATATATACTATACTATACATTAAAACACTGTTTTAAACATTGGACGCGCGTTTCGCTAATCATATTAGCAGCATCAGCAGATAACTACAACTCACTTTTAACCATCTGCAAATAATGCTAAAATGGTTAACGAAATAGTCGTACAAAGTTAAAAATTAAAGTTATCGTGTATAGCGGTAAATAAGTGATTTATTTTGCTGTTGCAATGCCAAAGGTTCCAACCTCAACTGTATATTTTTGCAAATAACCATACAAAAAGCCTCTGGTTTCGACATTTACCATTGTTAAATGTTAGAATCAATCATGACGTCGTGGGATATAAATCTTCGGTTAATACAAAAATACTTAGAAAGCTGGTATTTAAAGTAATTAGGAATTATCTAAATTAATTAGGTAATTCACCTCTCTGAAAAGTTGGTCTTTTTTGATATCATATTGCAACAAAAAGTGAATTTATAATAAATCCGCAAATTTTTATCTTAAATTTATTTTTAGTCTATCTTGTTATTACTGTCTTATTTTTATTTAGAAACAAAAATATCAAATTCAACTTTGCTAAAAAATATTTAGATACTAATAAGATATATAACAAATATTTTTATAATTTATTAGATATGCTGGTTTCGACATTTCATATCAAAAGTTAACCCTGCCAGTAAAATTCGATATAAGTAGACTTTTTAATATTTATCTTTTTAATTTAACGTACATCTTCGTTTGACATTAATCGTCTAAAAATAGAAGCTAAAGTGCTATTTTTGGTTTATATTTAATACTATAAAGTTTGTATTTAAAAATGATAGACCAATTTTGAATATTTTGAGATATTTTTGTATGTTCTGGAATATCCTGGTACAAGAAAGTCGCCAATTATCTACAACTCAGAAAACTAGTAGTAAACCTGGTTGACCTACATTTCAATAATCTCGATTTTTAACAGATATGCAAGAATGCAAAACCTCAAGCGAGGGGGAGGGAGACTCAAATCTCACAATCTTTTCAAATTATTTATTTCAAAAAATCAATGCCCAAAAGCTAAAATATAATCGTAAAACACAGTCAATCTAGGTAAATATTTTTGAGAGAAGTTTATTTACCTAGACTGACTGTGTTTTACGATAATGTTAACTTTTTGTCCTGATGGTGGGAAGTAACTATTCCCGAAACATGTTACCCCATTCAACAAAAATTATTTTTTGAAATAAATAATTTGAAAAGATTGTGAATTTTGAGTCTCCCTTCCCCTCGCTAGAGGTTTTGCATTTATGATGAACTCACACTGGGTTAGAGAACGTTTAGATATGCAAGACTTTCGTGAGGTTATGATAACTTTTGCAATGCAACTTTGCTTCATCCTAGTTCATTTTTAGGATTATTATTTGTAAAGTTATGACTCTCCGTTCTAGTATACAGGGTGGTCTGAATTGTATTCGAGAAACTTCGGCATCATATTCTGCTGATAAAAATAAGTAAAAAAGTTCGTATAAATTTATGTCCGAAAATGCTGTTTCGGACATACAGGTGTAGAGGTTTCATTTTTATTGCGATTTTTTCCAAATAATTCTGAACTATCGTCGATATTTTGATGAAAATTTGGTATTTTTTGACATATTTCATTTCGATGTCAATATGGCTCTTACTGGTCGGAAGCGCCAACTATATGTTTTTAACTGTTTTGAAGAGTAATAACTTTTTGTCCATATCTGTATTAAACTAAAGTGTAAAAAATATGCGTTTCCGCCGTTTTTTACGTAAAAAATGCCTCTTGGTAAAAACCGAGACGAGCAACGGTTGTCAAGATATTTGCAATGGAAATAATCAATAAATGTCATCTCATTGACATAAAATAACACGTTGTAATTGTTATTTCACTGAAATTATAAATTTGGACACTTTTTATTTTTCTAAATTAATTTTAAATATTACTAGAAGAAATTTCGGTAAAACAGTTTCTGTTGAACCTCTGGCACAAAAACATTTCCAAATTTATTATCTCACTCTAATAATGTATTGATTCTTTCGATTCCATACTGAGAACCATTACTCGTAATGATTTTTACCAGGAGACTTTTTTGGGTAAAAACAACGAAATGCATATTTTTTTCACTCAGTAAAATAGTACTGTAATGCGCTAATGACTGCGCTCTAGTTGCAAACACGTTACAACAATTACAAGAAATGTTGAACACACATACCTGGGCATACGAGGCTTTGGGCCTTAAGCTAAACATCGACAAAACCAAAATCATGTGCACTCCCCCGGAAGATCATAACAATGCTGTAAAAATCGGAGAGGAACAATTGGAATATGTAGCGGAATTTAATTACCTCGGCAGTTTCATTTCGGAAAAGGCCAATATCGACTCTGAAATTCAGCACAGGATTAGCAGCGCCTCAAGAGCATTCTGGAAATTAAAAGACACGGTTTTCTACAATCATGACTTGAATACAAAAACGAAACTGGCAGTGTACCGAGCAATTATAATCCCCACCATGTTATATGGGAGCGAAACCTGGATGCCGTACCGCCGACACATGTAGGCATTAAACAAGTTGCAACAGAGACACCTTAGACAACTCTTAAGAATCAGGTGGTTCCATCATGTCTCAAACGTATCGGTCTTTGAAAAAGCTAACTGCGAGAGTATTGAAGTCATGGTTACAAAATCCCGCTTAAGACGGGCTGGTCACGTATGCAGAATGCAAGAAAACCGCATACCAAAACCTCTGCTTTACGGTGAGCTTGTAGACGGTAAGAGGAGGCCTCGGAGGAAGCCGGGTGGACAATTCAAAAGGTACAAGGACATTTTCCACGACAGATAATACAGATGCTTATAGGTAGGCATTACTTTCCGCCGACATGAACGACGTCACAATATCTATTAACGGCATTTTAGTAGGCTATCGTTTAACAGCTGTTTAAGTACATCGTTAAAAAAAAAGTTGCTTTATATTCAACTTACCATATCGACGGTGACATCACCAACTTTGGTAGCCCCGTGAGCTTTGCGGAAAGCCTTCACTCGTTCCTGTTCCTTGGGAATTTTCGCGGCCAATATGGCCTTGAGATCAGTTGAGCCTTCGGTGAGCTGTCGTAAGAAAGCCGAGAATTGTGGTACGCATCTCTGTAAAAACCAAATCATCGATAAAACATCAGTAAATAAAAATCGACTGTTATTAAATACATTTTAGTTAAATCAATAAGTGAATATACTGGTATTAGCTGTACATAGGTATAACCCATAGACTTAAAATAAAATATAGACTGAGCATCTCATTCATAAATAGCTGGAACATGCGGTCAGACACTGTCTTGTTATTGTTGTGTTATTGTTTTAGGTTATAACGAGTGCGACACGAGCGATAGATAGGTTGTCTCTGTCATAACGGTCGTTCCCTGACGACTCTGCCGAAAAACACAACACTGTCTTTCGTTTCTCAAGTACACCTGAACTCTCCGTATCATAGCCGGGTAATTTTTTTATTTTAATGAAGCTATAATTAAATTAAAAATATATCGTATTTAAACTTTTTTATATTTTGTTAAGATTTAGGACAGGTTTTTTAAATAAAAGTTTAGAAAAAACAATTTAGAGTCCAAAAAGGATAAAAATAATAAAATACACGTTATAGAAGAAATTTTATAATCAAATTAGGTAATTTTTGAAATTAATAATAAATTATTAATTTTAGTCAAACATTTACAACCCCTAATATTAATCAAAACAGGATCTATTCCACAGATATAATAGAATCGGCGACAGGGAGAGAAAAAAAAAATATGATTGTTGTAATTTTTTTTCTGGTTAAGTGATGTCTTATTATGTAAATTAGAGAAAACATAAATCTGTTCCATTAAAGCAAGGAAGGTGATAGGAAGTGGATAAAATAAAAACTACATTTATTTAACTCGGTACTGTCTTTATTATACCGGGTCTCAAAAGTGGCTCATCCCCATAATTTTTTTATATTTTCAAATAAAAAACAAGATTTAGTATGTTAGTATATGAAATAAATTAGGATTGATTGACGCATTCAATTGTTTTTGGTCACTTCCTGTTTCACCGGAAATGACTATAACTTTTAATTTTTAAACGGCACCCTCGGTATATTTCTACTTTATTCGATAGAAAATGACACTCTGAATAGAGTGACATATCATATGTCAACTTTTGACATTTTCGCATATGGTTTAATTGTAATTGTAACACGCGGTTCATAATGACAATTTGACTCAAAATACCAAGTGTGTGGTATCAATATATTCATAAAGAAATGCTTTTTCCAAATATGCTAATGAGTCACCCTTGTTCCATTTGAAAAAATTGACATATGTATGATTAAAAATACGATTTGTACATCTTTTAACCGGCCTAGACAAGACACGAAACCAATTAGACGATCAAAACTATTTTTCCAAGGCTCCTTGATTAAAACTTAGTGGATTGAAAAAAACTGGATTGAAATTTAAAATAGGATATGTTTTTAAGCGACAATGTCAAAAGTTGACATATGATATGTCATTCTATTCAGAGTGTCATTTTTTATCGAATAAAGTAGCAATATACCGAGGGTGCCTTTAAAAATCAAAAGATGTAATCATTTCGGTGAAACAGAAAGAGACCAAAAACAATTGAATTCGTCAATAAATCCTAATTTATGTCATATACCTACTAACATACAAATCTGTTTTTTATCTGAAAAATTAAAAAGTTATAGGGTTAGCCACTTTTGAGACGACCCGGTATATTAAAAAATATTGTTTCATAATGTAATATCATTTTAAAATTCTTGTATGTTATTTTAGATTCTGAAGATAATTTTAGAATAAACCGGAATATATTTTTAATAAAAACATTATTAATTATTAACAGGGTTATAATTATGATTTTGTTACAATGTAAGTAAGTAAATAATGTAATGTAAGAGAAAAAATTCAGATTTTACATTTTACTAAAATATTATCTAAATAAGCGCCTTTCTACAACAACGCCACTGACTCCCAATGGGTAAATTGAGAGTTGCCTACCGGTCAAAAGTCGTTTCAAGACTTAAATGGATTATTTAAGTCAAATTTCTTGCAAATTTGGCACTGGCGAACCATATTTTATAGTTCTTGAACAGAAAAAGTCAATAAAATAAACACTTAAGCACTACAAGCTAAGAAAATGCGTTAATACAGCCGGGGAGATAGCGGCAACAAAGCTTTACCGCACACGTGCGACACGTACTACAAGGTAATAAATGAATGAATAGGCTCCCTCGCCTCTAATCGGTGTTGTCATATTGTAAAGAACTTATCCTTATTAAACAGTATCCGACTTATAATTTAGTAGTATAAGGACTATTTAATACATCTATGGAATATTAAAACCTACTTTATTAAACTGTAGTATTAATATATCAATATATGTGTATAACAAGAAAAAAAAATTGATAATATTAAAGACGTGACAACATAGGCTGGATGAGGAAGGCTCGGTCGACTGTACCCAGAAGTAAACATGTGTACAAAAAAGGTTGTTTGTCCGCGTTGAGATGTAAATAGTGTAGTCTATATTTTATTTTAAGTCTATGGTATAACCACATAGCTAATAGAATTAAAAAAAATTGGCGCCGGGAGGCACGTATAGCCGCCCATACTGAAATATGTTAATAAAAAGTTGGTAGGCAGTTCTTTTAGTTTCAAAGTAAAGGAATTTTTCCAATTTTGGTCCGCGGTTATTTCCCTTATCCGCCACCTGGGGGTCGCGTCCGATGGGAGTTTGGAGTTCTCCACACGGATTTTCTCAAAAACTGCGACTTTGACTGATTTTGAAGTTATTACAAATTTTGTTGCAAATATTATTCCTAATCTTAAATTAAAAACCGCGTTTCTCTAGCTACTGTAATTTTGGAGTTACGATTTTTTAAAATTTTTAACCCCCTCCCATACCCCCTTACCAACCACCCACCCCCACCAAAAACTAATGACCACATTCTCGGGTGTCACAGTATTTTTGTACCAAATTTGGTTAAAATCGGTTTAGCGGTTTTTGAGTTATCGTGTTACAGACGGACAGACAGACAGACACCATGAAAATATTTTGTATTTAGGTCATTTATGACCCAAATAACACATTTTGAGTGAAATTAAAAAAACTTTTTTTTCCGATCTTAATAGCCTACCAAACCTGTTGGTATGGTCGGCTAAAAAGCTCAATGAAAAATGGATTTGATTTAAAAATTAATAGTGTCAAGGCGTATGGCGACATCTGTTGGAAGGGCAAAAAACCACTAAGCGTGTTTATATTGTCAGGAAGCGTGGCCACATTTTTCGGGAATTGAGTAGCGCGATCTCTTAGATAATGGTGGAAAATTCCGAATGAGACAACGGAAACTTCTGGAAACCAAAAGAATTCAACAGAGTTCTAGAATAGAAATTGCGAGAAGACCGTTGGGATATATACGATACGTTCAAAAAGCGCCAAGTTAGTAAGTTTTTTGCATAGAGTCCTGTCTGTAATAAGCAAAATGTGACAAATTAGCGAAGGGTTTTCAAATAGTTATTTGTGGTTATATTTCACTAGAATTGTGTGTATAATAATTGGAAAATAAATTCGTTAAGAGTTTTATCGTGTATTTTTTAATTGAGGAACCACAGAATCCGTAACAATAGAAAAAAGTCAACAAAATCATCAATAATCACCATTTTTACAGGTTTTAAAGTAGGTAATAAAGAAGAAAGTTCTCTTGAGAAAAAAAAAAGGTTTTAAAAATTTATTATGTAATAAAGTTCTGTCAAGGTATCCTATATAAGTAACACAGGTCAAAAGAACTAAGATTTTAAAACACTTTTTCATTTTTATAGCCTATCCCGGCCCCTACTGTAGAGTTCGTAACAAAAAGGGAAACCGAAAAATAAATGCCGCATGATCGAAAAAAAAACTGCGTCAAAGCCGCCTGGGGAATGTCAATCGATGATCATTTTGGTGAGGTCATTCTCTAGACGTCGTTTACCACAAATTGACGTGAAATTTGTCAAAAATTAACACCAATTATAGGCAGATTAAAAAAGGATAGAACGTTTCCAGGAACAAAAATCTATTTCCAAAAAAATATTTTTCCTCGAATTTTAAACTACACCATTCAAAACTCTTTTTTTAGTCGTTAATAAATTACAACCTTCTGAAGGCCAACTAGCAGTAAGTGTCATTAAAAACTAAAGAATAATACAAGGTAATGACGTCTAGGGCTTGACTTCGCCAAAATTATCATCGATTGTCGTTCCTTATCCGTCTTTGACATCGTTTTTTTTTCGATCGTATGGTATTTAAAGTGATTACACAATTTACCACAATATAAAAGTGCTTCGTTTGTCCGTTAGAGTGCATCAAACTTAAAAAAACACATTTTTTAAGATATTTTAAGAACCGTTATTCCAATTTGAATGAGATTTGAGGTGCCTATGTTTTCCAACGCGCTTTAACATTTGACTTTTACAAAACAAACAATAAAAAATACGGAAAGGATGAATGGATAAAATGATTTTTTTTTCGTGAAATGGCTCTTCTAGTATTTATTACATTTCTTTTCTCTTGTAAAAAAAACGCCACCGCGTATACTTTTTAAGATTTTATTGTCTTGTCTATTGGCGCGTATAATATTGTATGCGATAATAATCCCGTTCGCGAAAATATGGAATGTTGAATTAACGTTCGGATTTATTTTTATTGATGCCCTCTAACGGACAAACGAAGCACTTTTGTATAGAGGTAAACTGTGTCTAATGAACTTATGTATTTTGGTTCCAAAAATATATAATAGTTCTATGTACACGGAATATAGGGACACCTGTATATGACATATTAACATTATAGTAACGTAAATATTAATAAGACACTTCTGTTGAGTGACACGTGAATAATCTAATGCATATCTAATGTTAAATGTACTCTTAAAAATTTAAGTTCTCGGTTAAGGTCACACTCCAAACTAATGAAAAATATCGAGACTAATAAATTAATCTTTTTGTGAAATGCCTAATAAGAACGAAAGTATGAACCGGTTATAAACCATTTAGAATTTAAATACATATTACAACCGTAATATCCTTGAATATAATATATTTTCCTTAAAATATTGG